AGGGAAACCAACTTCTTATTTTGGCAAGTGTTTTGAGAATTTTAGAGGGAGAATGTTTTTTTTCTTGCTTTGTGGAACTATAGATGGAAGTCTTAAACACTTACATGGAAAACTGGTCGGGTGCTAGTTAGGCAAAGGTAGTTAGTTTTGGAAAAAGGTTTTTCACTTGATAGGAATGAGAGGGCGAAACACACATTTTACAATGAATTGCCTGTAGCACTGTATATAGTAGACACTGCCATTTTTTTATATGTGGGTATTATAAAGGGAAAAAAAATCTAGAGTATTGTTTAGTTCAGCATTTAAAAATCAAATAAGTTTTGGGGAAATTGGCTAATTTAATCCACAGTTAAGGCAAGCCTGGTAATTTTTGCTGTTTTTAGAACACTCTGGAATACATAATGATGGCAGCTATATCCAAAATATTCGCTGTGTCAGCAACATATCCCTATCAAGTTGTGCGAGCTCGTCTTCAAGATCAGCATAATACGTATTCTGGTGTGTTTGATGTTATCCGCAGGACATGGAGGTAGGCATGCAGAATTAAAAGTTTACATCTTGGAAAGTGAATCTACAGACTCAGAACTATGTTTACTGGCTTCCATGCTGCTGACTTGCAGAACCAGTGCAGCTCAGAACAAATGAAATGTTAGCTGTACAAAGTCATTTTGTGCAAGATGCCTCTAATAGCAATAGCCTAAGGACAAAGGAGGAGATAGGAGAGAGTCAATGCTAGCCTGCAGACTTGTGTCATTTATTCTGTCTCCCTTCGTTCTTCCCCAAAAAATTTCACTTACAGGTTAACAAATAACTGAGTTGGCTGTTTTGGGGCTCTTAAAACAATGACGTCTCACTTGAACTGCTTTAGATTATCACATGCGACAGGAGAGTTGTGCTGCTGGGAGCTGTGGCTAATCCACATTCCTGGTAGGAGGAAGTAAGCCAGCCAGAGCTGTTCATACTGGTGTCCCTGGGTTACACTGTGTCCTGGCTGAATTTGTAGTCTACTCCCAGCTTCCTGTAGGACTTTTAGAGAACTGTTACCGCACACCTGTGCGTATCTTTTTACAAACCTCTTCCCTCAGCTCCAGACAGCACCAGAGAGTGTTCGCACACAATTCTATAGTTGGCCACCTTTGCAGTATGCAGCCAGTGTTCATCTTGCCTTAGACGGTGTTTCTTGGTTGCAGCATATTGCTAGAGAGATGTGAATGGAGTCAGTTCTAACTCCTGGGGTATTAAAGGTGCCACCTCAACGAGTGAATGAGGCTGTGTTGTTCCAGGACCACCCTTGGGCTCAGAGGCAGTACAACCATTTTGACCAACGCCAATTCAAAGTGAAAATAGCTCTGATGTCTCAGTGCTGTGCCCTTCAGTGCTCCAGTCTATAGGAAGGCTTGTTAGCTCTGATCAAGTGTGAAAGTGTACAGCCCTTTCGGGGCCACTGCTGAACTCACTATGAAACAAATGCAACCTAGAGCCCTAGGGAGGGTAGTGTAAACCACACCCAAGCACTTTCCAGGATCTGTGTTAACTGTACTCATCACTCCAGGTGTCCTAGGCCTCTATGAAGCTGGAAAATAGGGAGCTGAGATTAAAAATCTTTGAAGCTTTGTAACAGCTCTAACATGATTCAAATTGGGAGAAGTTAGATTCTCATTTATTGGCCAATGGACTCAAAATTCTGGAGAAGGTGCTTTAATTCTTTCAAAATAAATGCTCACTTTTCTTAGTTATGTTGACCCTCAGCTCATTTGCTGTTACATGACCCCAAACCACCAAGCTTTTCAGCCCTGCTGGCTTTGGTGAGATTGAATATGTAAATGCTTTTTGGAACAGGCTGCAGAAATTCTAAGTTATTTTAACCAGCTCTTGTGACATGAAGAAAGATAATAAATTGCCTCCTACTTAGACAATAAAAAAAAACCCCAAAACACAACACTTAAACCCTAGGGTAAATAACTGACCTATGGAATAATATTGTATGTTCAGAAAATGATGGGTTAAGATATATATATATTATGGCCCTTTAAACACTGTAGTAAGAAATTATTCTGAAATTGTTATTCCTAACCCAAAGTACCTCTCTCAGTGCAAATGCAAGAAGAAAAATGCCAGCCTTTGTTTTATGTCTGATTTCTATTAATATACATTAATTAAAACTAAATGTTTTTCTATGTCTTTAAAGGCAAGAAGGAATTCATGGATTTTACAAAGGAATTATCCCCAATGTGATCAGAGTGACTCCTGCCTGCTGTATTACCTTTGTCGTTTATGAAAATGTGTCTGGCTTTTTGCTTGGTTTTAGAAAAGAGAATAATTAAAGGTACGCGCTTGTGTTCATAAGGAATCTATCCTTTATTTTTTATATTTATGATCTGGGAGAGATTTAGTTCAGCAGTCTTTTTTGACACTGCGAATTGATGTAGTATTTTGAGGAAAGAACCTGGAGATAGATAGTAAAACCCTGCCAACATCTCTTCTGCTGAATGTTCGTGCCTCGCTGCCTTCCTCTCTATCAGCTGTGTCTGCTTGAAACGGATGTCTCTGCCACTATGAAATAATAGCACTGTGACTGGGTGAAGGCAGCTGTGCAGCCATTCAGTTTCTCCTGGCCTGCCTGGAATAACGGACTAATCTGTTTTGACAAGTCTCAAGATAACAGTTGGTCAGATTCTACTCCTACAGAAGTGGAAAATTTCATATAAAAGCAACTCTAGGGTCTGTCAAAACGTTCTTTAATCTTTATCTGAGTCTCATGAAGAAAGTATGTATGTGGTTGTTCACAGCAATGTCTTCTGAGTCCACCTCTGTGTTATTTGTCAGATTTCAGGATATGGAATGCTCCAAATTCCATTGCTTATCCAACACAAAAAAGCTGCCTCAGTGGGGTGCAGTTTGGAAACTTAAATTGTTTTGTAAAGCAGCTGTCCATTCTTGGGTTTGAATAATTGCCAATCTGATGAAACCCACTTCATGTCTCATACCAGGACAGACTTGCATTGTGGGTTTTGGCTTGCTTTTAGCACCAGACCAAAGTGTAGCATCGCTGTGTGCATCGCTGGCCACTTACTTAATTCATTCTCTCTCGCTTCCCTGCCTGCCTTCCCCACCCTGTTCTGGGCAAGAGATTCTGTCTGCATTACTGATATATCTGACCAAATATTACTAAGTAAATGCATATTTCAAAGTACATTTTTTAAAAAATAAGAGGGTTTTTTCTAGTAATCCCATAGTGGTAAAGTTTTCAAACCACTTTAATAACAAACATGCCCATGCTATTTTCAGTAATATTCTATGGAAAAAAAAAAAATCATAAGTAGTCTAAAAAATATTGAGCACAAGACTTTGTTTAAAAAAACCCAACTAATCCATTAACGTTTTCTGATTTGGTCTAAGGAAAGGACTGTAGGAATATATCGATTGCTAACTTTATGCTAAACTAAATTACAGTACATCTCAGTAAATTTGAATAATAATGATGTTTATTTGCATGCCAATAATTGCTGTCAAGGATATGTATTTTTTTGAGATCTGGGTTTGTTTAATTTTTTCAGTTCTTTAAGAAAATACGTTACTGTCCATAACATCTGCCTTCTGCTGTTAATAAGAAGGTATTAAGAAGTGTCTAGAAAGTATCACTTAACCGAAGAGGAAACAAGTTAGCAAAGATTATTCAACAGGTAGGGGGGAAATAATCAGTTTTGCAAGGAGCAGAGAATACTATCCAGCGAAACAAATAATCACTTAGAGAAGTTTCCTGTTTAACAGGAGACTAACCTAAAGCAGAAATAGGGCTTTTTTAATGTTTAAGTTAAAATCCGGAAGACTACAGAAACTGCTCAGTATTTTGAATCTTAATTCAGTAATCCTCATGCTTGTTTCTGTTGATACTACTGCCACATACTACGTTTTGTTAATAATTTACACTTTCTCCTCTGTGATCCCATCCCCTCTGCTGATACAGTTGATGGAAAAGGGCATGTGGCTGTTATGACTGGCTTTCGGTTTTATTACAGAAGTTTCCATCTGTATTTGGCTGAAGATCAAATTACTGGAAGTTTACCATGCAAATTACTGTACAGATCCCTAACAGCTACTTCTTTTGCCTTTGGAGAGTATTTACTTGGTTTTGTGTGGTTTCTAGCATGCAGAATGAAGTTACTGGAACACCGATTTAACTCTGCCACCCAGGGTCCAAAAAATATTGTGAAGACATATGAATAAATCATAAGAAAAGAATAAAACTTGTGCACTTCCTACCATGGGTTAGTGTGCTTTAGGCCCAGAACAGCTTACTCGTGCTCCAGGATAAAAGCAAAGACAGGCTACAAGCATGTACACAGTCAGTTACTGTATGTTAACTGACATCCTGTAAATTCACACCATAGCTTAGCTCATAGTAACTCGTTTGTGTTCAGATACCTTAAAACCCATCGTCCAAGCCAACGAAAACAGCACCGTTCTTCAGAGACAAAATACCAGCTATATAACTTGCTGGCTTGCAGCAGTATCACACGTAATGCTTGCAGTGGGGAAAGCCGGAGTGCTCTCTGAGCTGCAGGTGTGTTCCTCTGGCATTCTTGGCAAAAGCTGCAGATGAGAGCTACCAATCTGAGAGATGCCTGGGGACACCATATAACGTGTTCAGAAGAAAAGCTGCGAATTAATTCTAAATAGGTGAAATAAATTCCTTATCTCAGATTTAATGTTTTTTCCTTTTGATTTCTCGGAAGAGTGTAGATCTCTGCATGTTGTACATGCTTTTCTTGGGTTTTTAATTTCATTAATGTAAAATTGATTTTGTAATATAAACATGATTATTGTTTCCCTTTAGAATCTGTACAATTTTAAAAAATATTTGAGTATATCACTTGTTTCATTTGGAAGAAAATACTTAAAACACGGAAGCTAATGCTGAGCTGACATGATCAGTGTTGTTGCTTGGCTAGTCTGGAGGCTGCAAATAGCTGTGTCATTATTCTTTTACTTTACCAGTGCACTTTTTGAAAGCCAAGGCATTTCAACCTGCCTTATTTCTGTATCTTCCAAAGTATTTAATATATATATATAGCTTTTAATTAACACCAAAGTGATTGTATATATCTGAGAGGCTAAATACAGGAGAAATATTTTATTGGAGCAACGAAATTAAGTTTTGTAACTGTAAAATTATTTAGTATCTGCATGCTAATAGTGGAGACTGAAATCCAGTCTACCAAGAAGCGAGAGGGAAGGAAAGCTTAGTCTATTTTACTTAGTTATTCAGAATGAGATATTTAATGCTTATCACCTCATGTAGGTCACAGTTAAGTCACCTGGAGTTTGTTGAGAGACATTAAGACTGTAACAGCAGAGCTTCCTATTCTGTAGTCAGGTTCACAGGAGTAGAGGTTACATATGTTTTCTGAATGCTAAAGCAAGGCCTCAGTTTACTTTCTTAGAACTTTCTATGAAGTCTTCTAAAAAAATTGTGTATCATAATACTGTGTAAAATACCTTAACAATTTGATGATCAATAAAATAGTCTGGATTCTTTTTTTTTGTAAAAGGTCTTATTTATTTGATACAAAAAGTTACAGTTAATTCTTAAAATGGTGGTGGTATATTTTCATACATCAAACAAGGAATTAAAAAAGTTAATGAACTTGGGTTTGATATTTATATTCTAAAATGATTATTATAAAAAGCCTCCGCAATGTGCAAAAAAAGGCTAGACAAAGACTACAGATGCAAGAGTTTGGTGCCTTTCAGTCAAATACTTGCATCCAACTCTATAGAAATAAATTCTGAAGAAAATTGTACAAAATAAAAAAAAATAGGGAGAGATTATAAAAAGGGAGGGAAAGTTATTTTGGCAGTTCTTCAATGATGATTCGGGAGACTGAATTCCATCCAGTAGAAGCATCTCCCCGTGGATAATCTGAGCAAGTCCCGACCCAGATGGCGATATCCACCAAGCCCGCGTTGATCCCTTCACACAGACCTTCCACTGGTTAAAGACAAGAATCAGGTTACCTCAGCAGACCCAATCACGTTGTATATCACAACTGAAGGTGGACACAAGTAGTTAAGAACAGCAGTTCATTGCAAGCTCATGTTATTTAGTTAAACCTGACTTGGAGATGCAGCAACATACATTACAGAGTCACACACTGCCTTTATCTGTGCTGCTTCTTGATATCTGTTGGCATACCTGAAGCAGATCACAATCCACAGGATGGCTAAATCAGAGATATACCTGCTTCTTTGTATGTCCGTACTGGTAGCTGGGATATACCTTCAGTCCCATCCAGCCAATTTTATAGCAGTGATGGGGACGGGGGGACGGGGACACAGCCATAGCTGGCTTCCACAGCTAAGCCGTGCGAAGGCGATTGCCACCCTGTAATCTTTTCCACTCCTAATTCACTGCTTCTGTATAAAGTTCCACTTCTGTTGCCCTTTTTTTTTCCCCTGCTAGCACTAGTTGGTGGTGGGTTAATGAAGACAGGTGGGTCTTACCCCTTGGTGAAAAAAAACCTATCACATCTTCAGATGTTAGATTTCATGCAGTCATGAAATAGTACAGGGAGGAAAATGGAGAAAGCATAGACTTGACGTTAGTCCCCTTTTCCTAGCGTCACTTCCTTTTATGCTGAAGTTTGCTGACAACAGCAGGCTGTGTGGTGTTGTGGACACGCTGGAGGGAAGGGATGCCATCCAGAGAGACCTTGCCAGGCTGGAGAGGTGGGCCTGTGAGAACCTCATGAAGTTCAACAAGGCCAAGTGCAAGGTCCTGCACATGGGTCGGGGTAATCCCAAGCACAAGTACAGGCTGGGCGGAGAATGGATTGAGAGCAGCCCTGAGGAAAAGGACTTGGGAGTGCTGGTGGATGAGAAGCTTAACACGAGCCAGCAATGTGCGCTGGCAGCCCAGAAAGCCAACCATATCCCGGGCTGCATGAAAAGAAGCGTGGCCAGCAGGTCGAGGAAGGTGATTCTGCCCCTCTACTCAGCTCTCGTGAGACCCCACCTGGAATACTGCATTCTGCTCTGGAGTCCCCAACATAAGAAGGACATGGAGCTGCTGAAGCAAGTCCACAGGAGGGCCACGAAGATGATCCGAGGGCTGGAGCACCTCTCCTATGAACACACACTGAGAGTTGGGGCTGTTCAGCCTGGAGAAGAGAAGACTCCAGGGTGATCTTATAGCAGCCTTCCAGTGATTGAAGGGGGCCTACAGGAAAGCTGGAGAGGGACTTTTTACAAGGGCATGTAGCGATAAGACAAGGGGCAGTGGCTTTAAACTGAAAGAGGGCCAATTTAGATTAGATCTAAGGAAGAAATTCTTCACTCTGAGGGTGGTGAGGCACTGGAACAGGTTGCCTAGTGAAGTTGTGAATGCCCCATCCCTGGAAGTGTTCAAGGCCAGGTTGGATGAGGCTTTGGGCAACCTGGTGTAGTGGAGAGTGTCCCTGCCCATGGCAGGGGGGTTGGAACTAGATGATCTTTGAGGTCACTTCAACCCTAACCATTCTGTGATTCTATGATTCTATGAATGACTTCACCAATTTCTCTTTTGCTTAGCAATTGTATAATTGTTCCTAGATATTTCACTTGGGGTACTTTTGTGGCCCACCTGAAATTATATTAGGAATTCCAGGAGGAATAAGTCTCATTTTATTCACAGATAATGCACAAATATCACTGTTTTAAGCCAGGATAACAGTGTCTACTAGGCAGTGAGGCAGTTTCTCCATATGCTAATACAGCACAGAATGTCTCTGTATTCATGTTGTAGAACTGTCTACATAGAAATTTCTTCCATTTCTAAATTGCAGGATGTAAGTACAGTGAGAAATACCACAGTAGTAAAGTGCCACTTAATAAATAATTCTAATACTGTTACTGTCAACAGTCAACTGTGAGACAGTGGAGAAAGAGTATCAAGTGTGATCTGGCCGCTCTTCTGCCTCTTCTTCCAGGCTTTGGACTTTCTAAGGCAGCTGTACTCTCTGCAGTTGGTAACTAGATTTGCTACCGGCTTCTACTCCTCCTCTGTTCATGCGGCCTCGGCATACCTACCTGAAGAAGTTCGGTGTATGTTAATAGTCGAATTCAGCTCCGGGCTTCCTTGATCTAAATATATTATGGCTTCAATAGGAAGTGGCCCAGCACATTCTGCCCCATTAAAAGTAAAGTACCAGCGCTGACAACAGGCGTTTTTGCACTTTAGCCGAAGTGATCCACTGAAGAGAACGCGGAGAGCGCTGTTCGAGCGCATCTTTGTGAATGTACATTCCTAAGAGGAGACAAAAATGCTTTGGTAGCAACCTCTGGTTTTGAACCCATTTATTTTCTATATATTTATATTTAGGAATATATTTATTTCAGAACATTTTGGCTATTCTCTTCAGTCCTTCCCCTCTGGAAAAAAAAAAAAAAAAAGAAAAAAGTAGAGCTTGGAAAATACCATACAGTGCAAAGATGCAAATCAGAAACAGCACCTCATAGATGGTGATGGAGAAGGGGGATTATGGAAATTCTTATTTTTATTTAGATAATACCCGCTGTTAAACAGGTAACCTCATTACCTTCTCAGGTTTATGTAAAGAGGTATGAGCTATCTGAAAGCTGCATTTAAGTCCCTGCATGAGAGGACAGTACAATTTCTGTCTCTGTTACCAGAAATCCTGGATTTAACAATTATCACAAGATTTGTGAGGGCTTAAACCCTGACAAAAGCTCCACAACTGGAAAAAAAAAACATTTTCAGGTTTTTAAGAGGTTGTTATTCTGTCTTCAAAATGCTGGATATCATGGGGAGAGGAGGGGAAAGCTAGGGACAGCTCTGCAAGCGTAAGACACTGAAAAACGTCCACTCAGAAAAGTTGATTCTTGCTCCAGCCACAGCAATAGCAGTTAAATTACCCCAACCAATGTGGGAATTGCTTCATAGCAGGGATTGAGCTTGGATTTCTTCCTCTCTTCTAGGCTGGCACCACTGTGTATGAAAGTTTGGCACTCCAGGGCTGCAGTGGAGGGCAGACCGTTGGGCTTAATCTGGGTAACGCTTGTTAACGCTGCTCCTGAATGATGCTGGTCCTTTTGGCGGGGGCATCCTACAGCTGAGTTTCAGCAAACAACCATTTTGAAGCAGGAGTTCTAAAGACAGGTACAACTAACAGTGTAAAGATGTACCTCTCTCCTGCTCTTTAGGACTGAAACGGTAAGAACCTTGTCATACTAAGGGCAAGTGGGAGGTACTTTTTCACTAGCGTGATTTTCTGCTTCACCGTTACAGATCTGGTCTTCTAACAATGCCTTACACCAGTGACATCATTCTTTTCAAACACTGTTACAAAAATGAAACGGGCACAGAGTGGTCAAACACAGCTGAGATGGATGTGAAGTAGAAAAACCTTTGAGAAGCTCCCCCTTACACCTGGAAAAAGGCTCCAATAGGAAATCTGTCCGACTGGTGCTACCCAGCTCACAGAGGCACACCTAGAGCCTGAAGCGCAGCATCCCAGGCAAAGCTAACTCACCGCTATTTTCCCAAGATCGATGCCGTAATTAAGCGCGCTCCACGAACACTGCTTGAAGTTGGGTGTCCAGGACTCCTCGATGCTCTCACGCATGCACTCGCCCTTCTCCCCCTTCAGCCCGTCCCGTCCCGGGATCCCAGGTGTCCCGGGGATCCCGTTGGCTCCCGGGTTTCCATCCCGTCCCGGAACGCCGCTGGGGCCTTGCAAGCACACGCCATTGTACTGAAACACAGAACAGATCTCGCTGCTTCCATCTATTAACTCCGAGGCTAACCAGGTGTTTAACAAACAAACAACAACTAAACACGAAAACCTCTGTTGTGACACAAGCTAATGGGATCTTTCTGGATGAGCAAGAAAATGGTTCCATAGAGAAAAAAAAAAGGAAAAATAAAACTTCAAAGATAAGCAGTGCCAGCAGAATTTGCTATAAATTAAGATCCCAATTATTTTATGAAAAGGTGCATAAATCCTAGAATCAAAAATTGGCCTAGTCTAGGGATTAAAAGCTGTTGAAAAACCTCAGAAGTTTCAAAACATTCCAATCCAGAAACAAAAAAAAAGACTTGTATGTTAATAGTTACTTTCTCCTAACCCATCATTGCTCATATAACTGTCTCGACTAATAAGTATTCATTATTATTTTTTCCTTTTTTCCTTTTTTTTTTTTTTTTTTTTTAAGTAGAGAAACTTTTGCATTTCATAGAGAGCAGTGGTTAATGCCAGTATTCTTCTGTTGCCCCTCCTCTGGGACAGAGTCATGTCGCAATAGTCAAGCCACGCAAGTCAGACTCCAGAGCGCACACAGCACGCCGGTGTTGATGCGGACATGGGAAGCTGCACCCTGGAATAATTCCGAACTCAGGATCTCTGTTCAAAGTGGTGGGAAGGCACACATGGGAGGACAGCACGCCAACATCCTCCCTAACATCCCAATATTAGGAAAGGTCAAATGTTGCTCTCCCAAACTGCACGTTAACACACGTTGCCTTCATACCTGATGAGACTTGGGTTTCTTTTCCTTGGAGAGTAGGTTTGTGCAGCCCAGAGCTCCTTCCCACAGCAGCACAAGTGCCGGGTCCCAGGGGTGAGCATCCCTGCATGGAGCTGGTGGAGCAGCACAGAAAGGCTGAGCAGGAGCCTCCAGTGGCTGGCGATGGCAGGGCTTTTCCTTTAAATGCTCTTTCCCATCTGGTCACTGACTGCTTCCTTCAGGCTTCATCCCAAATTCTCACAGATAACTATATTCTGCTCTTCCCCTTTCTCACACCTATTTCTCTTCATCTGTTTTAAACCACCTCAACCCCACCTGTTTCAAAAAGAGATGACCATGCAACTATTCCTCTATTTCTGCAAGCCACACCACTATCATCCACACTGCAGGGGATGTGAACTACAGCCCCTGCTCTCTCTCCTTCGTCAGATTGGTCAACTTTCTTCTTCTGGGGTTGTTCCTTTTCCTGTGCTTTGGTGCAAAAAGCAGCACAGGCATCATAGGCTCATCTGGAGCCACTCTATAAATAAAATCAGTGACTACATGAAGAGGTCAAGTAAGAAGTAAGATGAGAGTTGGACTAAGGGATGCCAGCATTCCCTTACTATCTTCACTAAAGAAAACACTGTTGGCAAATAGCGGTGAAAATAGTGGGATACTATAATCAAGGCCACATTTTAAAAATGATAGCTGGAGAGAAAGCTGCTTGGCAAAGCACACACCGACCATGAGAACGATGCAAAGATGTTTATGTTTCACACAGCGTTGGTTATCTGCTCTTGCTGCTGTTTTCCTCTTGGACTCCATTTGTAACAGTGACTGGCTTTGGCTTTTGCACGTGGTTACTCACCACAGAAATCCCGAGGACATGGAAATCGGTGAAAGCTGGGGGCAGGTCAAGGCTCTGACCCACCACCCCCCAGCCCTGGCAGCGCCCGCAGCACCAGGTGGGAGCCGGGCTGCCCCAAACGGGGAGCAGCCACCGGGAGCCGCACAGCTCCTTCCAGAGAGAGCAGCTCAGCCATTGCACATGCCAAAAAATTGATGTGCGTGAAAGAACTACCTGAGCTTTGGGCTCCGCTCCAAGTAAATTAATCTACATTTGCCAAAACAAGTCTTTTTGCATGCTTTCTTAAGCTGGAAATGCATAAAGCATCTTTTAAAATGAAAATGTCTTTTAAATGTCTTTTAAAATGAAAATTAAGGCAGGATCCGCTCTCAAGCATGTGTTCATTCCGCCCTGAAACGGCTTTAGCTGAAGCAGATGGTACAACTGGGCTGTGCCTGAGTCAGCTGCCGTCTATTTACCTGCGCTTTGCTGCTCACTCTGCTGCACCCGAAAGCACGGAGCGATGCAAGAGAAACAGAGGACCCTTAAACAACACTCCAGCAGAAAATGTACACTCCTCTGTGGGTGCAGACTCCTTCTTCTCCATGCAATTCAATTTCCCAATAGAAGTGAATGGGTAACAAGGTGGTGTGACAGGGAAGGAGCTTTGCCACCCACGGTGCTTCCAGCACATCACTTCTGGGAGTCTCTCTGGAGGTCATGGAAGAAACGGCTATGCCCATGGTTTTCTAGAGGAGGTGAACGGCAGTCCAGCAGCAGCTCACGGAAAGAGCTTCACATCTGCTTTCTGTATTCCAAGAACTGGAAAATCTCCCTCCTTTCTTCTATCCCTGAGATGGGATAGTCCCAAAGCGTTCAGGTTTCTAGTTGCAATGGAATTGCAAACAGAGGTATGCGGGCCCAGGTGCCAAAGGGAATAACGCATTCGTGCGACTCCAAGAAATAGCCGGTCCAGTAAGCACACAGATACAGTTTTCACATCTAATGGCTGCTGAAGCTCAGTGCTTTTACTCCTCTTTTTGCAGTTTATTATTTATTCACCAGCCTTTTAGGACCTGAACCTCGTTTACTACTTACGTTGCAAGGGCTGTAAGACTTCAGCGTTGCCCCTGCAATCTGCAGAGGCCAGGAACGGCCTCACAGAGCAGCCTTTATTCCCGCCG